TACTTTTATTAAAAGGTATTTTATGATGGAATTTTTTTTTTTTTATTTATTTATTTTTTTTTTAACCAAATGCTTAATTTAATGATTAATCATGTAAATAGAGTTAGTACTATTTTATATCATCGATATGGCCTTTAAAAAACGCTACAGACTAAAATAAAACCTTCAAATTATCAGACTTTAAAACAAAAGGCTCTTTACAAATTTCATTATTGTACAATTTCAATGTTACTTTAGGCTGCTTTCTAAGTATTTGTCACTCGATCATATAAAACACAACACTACTTACTGTATAGGGAGTGATCTACATGTAACGATTACATAACTACCAGTATCGATAAAATACTGCGATAGACTTTCTGTTACTACAATACTATATTTAATTTTTACAGTACGATAGTTGCCAAATAAGTCCCAAACAATTTTTTGGTTCTCTGATCTATATTGATAACGTTTAACCCAATTTTCTCACTATCTAACCCATTTTGATTTGTCTTTTTAGATCTGGAAATTTATATATAACTATACCCTAATTTCCTAACTCGGTGATATTGATTCGCATGATCAAAATTCGAATTTAAAACACTGATAGAGTTGCATTACTTATTAGTAATAAATCTTCAGATTTTGTATTCCAAAGATTTAAAAGATATTGACTGATCAATTGGGATGGGATCATCATTATAAATTATTCTTTTGTTAAAAGATTAAGTGACGTCAAGATTCTACCTGAAATGAAAAAAGTAAGTGTGGGGTAATCGGTTAGATATGAATTCTTATGTATATAATTTTTATATTTCATATATAATTTTTATATTTGGGGCTTTTTTTAAAGTAATATACACGTATCAATTGGCTGATCATCAATCAAATTTTATCCTCTGTTTTAGTGACTAAAAGGTTAATCAAAAAATTGAGGTGATTTTTTTTAAAGTATTCAAAAACGGGAATTTATTTATCGTATGTTATCTATTTATTTATCGTATGTTATCTATTTCAATTACTGTTTATCATATTACGTATTTAATAAAACCGGCTAATTCATTTGAAATTAGCAAAAATGGCAATTCGTTTAGATGATATTAAAAGATAAAACGGTGAAAAAAATACTTGTTTATCAAGGGGTCATGTTGCGGATGACAATGAGCAAATAAACCTGGAAATGAATGTAAATATTTCAAGTATTTTTGAGTAATATTGAGTCATGATCGCCATAAGTGCTATCCGGGCATTTACAAAGACTAGGGGTATACATTTTTCGTTCAACTTTATCACTATTTCAATGTTTTACACCAACTAGGTATTCTCTAAAGCATGAAGATATTATTCGCGATATATATAATATGATATGAATCAAATTGCCTTGGTACAAATCATAAGAGATTTACAAGTCAGCAGTCACTTTACAGTAAACCGTCATCAGGAAATTTTGAAATCTAATGATTTTAATCGATCCAATCGATTGTAATTGATAATCGAACTAATTGGTTAGCAATCGATTAAAATAAATCGATTAAATGTTTGTAATCGATTAAATTATGGTTCAAACTTTCCTTATGCGTTATAATTTAAAATTTAAAAAACTTTTCTCATGGTAAAATTAATTTACATCTTACGTATTAAATTAAGCATAAGGTTAAAAAAAAAAAAAAAAAAAAAAAAGGGGATAAAAAAAAAAATATATTCCATCCTAAAAAATTAATAATAACTAATAATACTAATAATAATAATAACAATATTCTCTGGGTCATATCCTGTATGAATTTGAAAATAAAGAAAATGAATGTAAAACTTTTTATGTTGCGCATGAAATAAGAATAAGAATAAGAATAAGTATACATCACAGACTCTAATTAAAAATATTAACATTAACGTTAACATTAATTTTCTATATTGAAACCCATTTCACGAACCCAAAAAATAGCCTAATTCATAATTAAAATTATCACTCGCTCTACATATATCTATTATTGAATTGAAATGGAATCAAGAGCTTTTGATAATTTCTCATCTTCCGAGGGCGCATCTGTTAACGTAGGTGGAAAACTATCAAATTCATAATCATCTGGCTCACCAGCAATAGCAGAAAAAGATGCGAATATAGCATCAAACTCAGCGGGCGATAAAATTTGGTCATCAGGCGAAGTTTTGGATAATATATCAATATCAAGTGGCGGTGGTGGACATAATTTTTGATTTGATGAACAGCTTCCTAATGTTTCGTGCTGGGCTAATTGATAATTGAAAGTGCTCATTTCGTTGTTTGACGTGAAAGTATAATCATTAAATTTCATGGATTGGTAATTTGAGTCACAGAATTCGACACCCTCTCCTTGTCTCATTACGTATTGAAGTTTCTCCGTCAATTCTTGAGGGAAAAAGTCATCAGACGAAGAATAACTCGTTTTTGAAGAATCCGTCATTGAAGACGATCGAGAAGATGAAGAAGTATTTGAGGTAGGTGTCATTATTTATATAATATTTTGAGTGAATAACAATTTTTTCAAGAGTTATTTTTTTTTTTTTTTAATATAATTTTAGAGATGTACTATAATATACTCATCGATAATAATTGATTACAAGAGAAAAATCGAATACTTTTATTAAAAGGTATTTTATGATGGAATTTTTTTTTTTTTATTTATTTATTTTTTTTTTAACCAAATGCTTAAAGACTCAGGAAAAAAGATTCATTCAAGATTAATTTTAGCAAACGCAACAAAGAAAATTTTAGTCTTTTCAGACGCTTTATATATATATATATATATATAGTATCTACGCTGAGAATAAATGCATTAGGGATAAGAAGATACATAAATGGGAATTACGCGACAACTTATACTCTTTAAGTTTATTATTTTGATGATGCAGGGTCGGAAATTAAGGTTAAATTTTTAATTACTTTGCTGTTCGTATCACTAAAATGAATGATGATCAATGTCACAAAATGGTGAGATAACGTCACCTGCTTTTTAAACGAGAATCTTCAATGAATCTAAATTAGGTTCGGCTGAATTTTTTTATATGAATTCCACATCGTTTTTTTTTTTAAATAAAAAATAAATATTGGTTCATAACAATTCCTCACGTGACATTTTATTACACATTTGGATACCGGATCGCAATCTCGACTCGGTAAGAACTATATATATACAAAATCAATGAAATCAATTGAATTGCTTCAACATTATTACAAAGAAATTTGGCGTACAGATCTCATAGTAGGCGTTTGATTTTATACTATGCCAAAAGTGTCAAAAATTTCGGCTGTGTGAAAAATTTTTGTAGATCAATAAGATCTTTTTGACGCCTAATTACCAGATTTCGTTGTACGTTTCAAAATATAGTATGTACATGTGTACGTTCGTAATAATTGTTCTGGTTTGTATCGAATCCGAGATCTACTTCGGTCCGGTTTATTGATTACGCAAACAATTGTTTCTTGTTTCAAGAATTGTATGACTATATAGCTGCAGGATAGCCAATTAATAAAAATTGTTGTAATGACCATATATGACAATATAAATCCTGAAACAGCGACAATTGTCATGAATTCGATCCGTCTTGACACTAAAAATCCGAAATTTCTTGATTAAATAAACTCTGAACGTAACCGTACATATACGTATGTACATACCATACATCCTTGCAGACAATAGAACATGCGCCAAATTTTTACCACCCCAGATTTTTTCAACATATAACTGGATCCCGGATGCGATTCTTAGATTGTACGTACCAGTTTCTATATTAATATGTATACTGGTAAAAAGAAATTTATTCCAGGTAAAATTTTGTACGTATTTGTTATGTATTACAGTTTTGTGCACATTTAAAATGGATAATTTATAGATAAAAAATAAAATTTTTAAATATAGAATTTACATATAACTTATACAAAAAAAATTTCGCACCGATATTAATTCCCAAATTTAGAGGTCGTCTAAGGCCGGGTTAGTTTTTTGTAAATTAAAAATCACTTGACGCATATAAATTACTATATACCCGACTTTAGCCAAATTTAGAAAATAATTTAAATGAATTTCACCAAACTTGGAACACAATTCGATGAAAAATAAATTACTAAATTTTTATTAAACAAAAAAAAGAAAAAAAATTCAATCATTTACGTTTTATTGGTTTTATTATCGTTATAAAGGATTCACCGAGTAATTCGATTATCGCAAGTCTCCGACACTAAAAATTCCGAAAGTTTATCCTGATAATCCAATTCATTATCCCGGCACAGGGCGCCAGTTATTAAAAGCGAAGTGAACAGCTGGTAAAATTAGTAAAAATAAAATAAAATTTACATATATATATTTTTTAAAAAGTTATTTATATTTTTCTCTCGGCGAATTCTTATCTATCATTAAAGCATGCTTGCATATCAGATATGCAGTAACCTATATACGTAAACCATTAATTGTTAAATTGTTAAATTGTTAATCAGTTTAAGAATCATCTTATGTTCGATGCGAAAATAGCAAATGTCGCATCTTTTATACAAGTTTCTAAAATTAGATGGTTTGGCTGAACGCATAATAAATAGTGGTCATTAGATTTGTAATTTATGTTAAAAATTTAAATGTACTTTGATGTATCAAGAAAACAATGGGAAGTGACGCAGTAAATGCCCATCATTTATTATATGTCGTTTCAGCCCTGCTCCGATCCTACGTTTTTCAAACTTCTCAACAATCTATTTTAAATTTATCGAATAATTCATTGGATTAATTGAAATTTCTGGTAAATTTGAACTTTATACATGAAAAGTTTCATGAATTAGCCATTCTTACTACTGCTACTATCTTATTGTTACACATGGTCGAATATGCGATGTGCACATAGTGTATATGTCATACACACATATGTAGATCAAATATATAATCAATGAACCTCGCTATAAAGAAGAAAGTTCTATAGAATAGGTGAGCAATACAAGAAATAAGCTTCGTCAATGATCAGTAATCATTGATTTTTATATTCAGTGATATTTAGCGGAGTTTGCCCATCTATTCTATAGAATGTCAAATATGAAGGCTATGGCACATATATTCACATCGCACACTCTAATTCGAATTCTGAATTACAGTATGTCAACTAGAGCTATTACCCGGATCAACCGATCCAGGTCAGACGGATCATAACTCAAAATAGGCAAAAACCTACTAAAATGCTATATTGATATTACGAAATTTACTTATAAATGCCTGACCCGAGTCAAACCAACATATTTAAATACCATAATCCGGTATTTCCCAATGCAGAAAATGAACGATCTCAAGGTCGAGAAATTTAGAAAAGTTCCGATTTAAGGATTCGGAGTATCTTTATTACTTTAAAAACTTTGATTTTCTGTATGACCCGTTGATCCGGGTTATAACTCAAATCAGTATGGGTAAGAGCTTTAATGTCAACTTTCTTTATAGAATTGGTTATTTTTTTTTCCGAGAGTAATACTGAACTGATATAAAATTTAAATCTTCATATCTTTCGCGTATCATATATGCACATATTATTATTACTGCAATACATTGGTGAATATTTTCACTATTTTTTTTTAAAAAAAAGATATTATGGAGAAACATATTCGATTAATTATAATAAAGCAAATTTGAAAATTTATAGCTTCTAAATAAGGTGATATTATAATAAAGTAAATTTGAAAATTTATAGCTTCTAAATAAGGTGATATTATAATAAAGCAAATTTGAAAATTTATAGCTTCTAAATAAGGTGATATTATAATAAAGCAAATTTGAAAATTTATAGCTTCTAAATAAGGTGATATTATAATAAAGCAAATTTGAAAATTTATAGCTTCTAAATAAGGTGATATTATAATAAAGCAAATTTGAAAATTTATAGCTTCTAAATAAGGTGATATTATAATAAAGCAAATTTGAAAATTTATAGCTTCTAAATAAGGTGATATTATAATAAAGCAAATTTGAAAATTTATAGCTTCTAAATAA